TTTCCTCCCTACTTCTCATTCAGCACATCAATCTGTAAGTTTCATTTTTAGCTGAAATATTTACCGCACAATAAGCTGTGGGTCACTTAGTCCTATCAACCATAAAAACTGCCATGATTTGGCTAAGTGCTCCCATATGACAGCATGTTTTTAATTTACCCCAGAAATACTGGTCCCTGCTGGCATTAAAGAGGTTTCGTTAATGTCAAAGCCTAATTTGTGTAAGTACTTTTTTGTACGGCAATGTACAACATATCAAAGGGCAACCTGTTAATCCCTCAGAAATTACTGTGTTGACCTCGCAGCTGTATAATATGAAAGGCTTTCCTCTCTCCTGATTGAGATAATCAGTGTCTTGATTGCTTTTAAGCTTGAATTTTCGTCAATCAAGCCAATAAATATGCTGCAGCTACAGGCAGCTAAGCTTTAATGGCTCATGCATTATTAAAGAACACATTCAGGGTATAATTCTGTGAGTCAGCTTGAAAAAAAAAATCACTACTGGGGAAACATCTGCTTTGATAAGCTTGAATAATTTTCTTATCATAAACGGAAGTTCCATTGATTGCCTGAATTGAATTTAACAGTGGAGTGATATATCCTGCAGGCAGTAAAGTTTAACACTCAGCAGTGCCAGAAGCAGTCCTGTGGCCACACCAGTCAACACATTGTTGGGAGACAGAGAGAAGCAGGAAATCTGAGGAGAGTGATGGAGACAGACAGGAACAAAACCAACCAAGAGACTGGAAGTGAGCAAATGGAGAGACAGAAACAGCAAAGCTGTAAAGCCATGACCTGTTTGCAGGGCAGCTGAGACGAACAGCAGCCTTCTCCATTGACGCAGTTGTGACCTGATCCATGTCCACACCATGGGCACATGCAAGTACAGTTATCCTAGTCTGGCACAGAGACCAGACCATCAACCTCTGCCAGCAATAGGGACTGTAGTGCAAGGGTGGGCTGCATACTGGAGAAGATGAGCTTCTGAATTTGTAGTGGCGATTGAGACATGGCCTCACCCAACCATCAAGGCATCCTCTGTAAGAAATCCCCTTCTAATTCGAGACACTGATCTCGTATTGTTTGGCAGAATGAGCAGCAAGAAAAGAAAAAGAACTGGGCTGGACAAATCCTGGATTAATTCTTATGACAGATGTGATTTCACTTTAAACTATCCAGTTTGTAAAATGTTTGGAGAAGGGCAAGGCTTCTGTTCAACAGCCATGAGACTGAGAAACCACTAAATAGCACACAAATCTCTTTCATGGCGACTAATATATAAGTTTATGTTACTATTTGGTGCATGAACCGTCTGCAGCTGTGTTTCACTCTGTTTTTCCAGTTTTTTTAAAAGCCAATTCAACTCCACCAAAAAACAAACATGGGAAGCGCAGCAGTCTGAAAGCAGGATAAATGTTGTCTGTGTAGGTTCTCAGTCATCCAGGTTATGGTAGTCTTAAGAGCTTGATAAGAAGGACAATAGACTTTGTTAAGTTTTCTAAAGATGTTTCATTTCCAAAAAGCTTCTTCAGTTCCAAACTGCTTAGAGGTGAAAAACTTTCATAAATTTTCCTCCCCTGCAGAAGCCCCTGGACGTTTAATGCTTGCAAGACTAATGCATTGCAGCATCCAGAGGAAAAACCCTCCTTGATTGCACTTGATCATCAGGATGTACTCCTGCAACTCTATATATTGGTTTAGATAAGGATGCTGGGGGGCACTGCACGTGATGCCTACTTGCTTCACAAATCAACGCAATTCAGCATCACAAAAACTAACGTCCAAAACGAAGCCCTAGAAAAGTTCAGGGCAGCCCTGTGTGAGTGTGAAAACATCTGCTCCACTGCTAAAACAGCTCACTTAATCATTCATCAAGTTGAATCTATCTTTACTCACCACCAGTTCGGAGAAACGCGCATGCAGCTCCTCAGCAGGCGGCATGGGCGCACTGAACTCCAGCAGCTGCAGTGGCACGGTGTCCTTCAGGTTGATCTCCGGGGGCTCGCTGCTGCCAAAGCAGCACAGGAAACCCAGGCCCTGTCGTGTCCTCTTCCTGGGGGGCATGATGGCTGTGGTAACACAGGTGGCAGTGGCGGTGCAGGTCCAGGAAGATAGAGGAAGGGGCCAAGGGGCAGGGAGGGGGAGTGGAGCGGAGGACGAGGCTGCTATCTAGGGGGCATCATCTGGAAAAGAGAGAGAGAAGACCAAGCAAATGACTCTCAGTTACTTTAAAGTGGATTTAAAGTTTCCTGGATCTTTAACCAACACATTTCAAGAGTTTAATGATGGACAGCATGTGACCTCTGGTGAGCAACACAGCATCTGGGAAGTTATAAGTGATGTGCACTGGCCCGTGCAGTGCCTTTAATCTATAATAATTTATTCCAAACTATTCGACTTTTGGATTGAAACAGGGAAAAATAAAATTTTTAAATCAATCCCTAATCCCTATCCCTAACCCCAAAAATCCCCTAACTCTCTGGTACCCCTACAACATCTGCAACACAGTGATTGCACTTTCTTCCATCTCAGTCCTCAAATGTGACCACAACAACCCCACCAACCAGTTGTTCAAACCTTCTGTTTTAAAGATGCAGCCAATCAGAATAAAGTTGGCTCAAACTACAGGTGAGGGCTGAGGGAGCTAAAGCAGCTTGTCTAAGTCGAAGAAGGAACCAAGATGCTAAATCTTATAAGACACAAAAAAAAACGTTATTCTGTGCTGTGAATCATGTAAAGCTGCTCTCCTACAGTCTCAGATTTATAACACGCTAAGACAAGTGAGCATGACATTTTCCCCGCACAATAAATTATTGATTTGATTCTCAGTCAAATACAGCACAGGATTCATGATGTTCCCAGATCTTTAATGCCTTATGATGGCCTATACGCCCTGTGTCTCCTGTCGATGTTTCCTTGCAAAGAAATTATTTGTAGTGCACAGGAAGTTAAGCCATTTATGTTTCCCGGAGCCCTGTTTGTTTGGCATAAATACAGGAAGATATGAGCAGCAACAGCCACCACATAAATAAACAATACAGTTCCATGTACAGAAACTGCTAGAATGACTGGAAATGCACATAAACTTACAGTTTATCCAAGCCTATTCTTTATCCAGATTGCCTTTACTGTGTCCTTAAAAACATGTCCCAAGGACTGTAGAGATATTCTCGCTGTGTGGCAACAGGAGTCTTGACGTTAGTTGCTCTTATGCCACAACAAAGAAAGCTCTTGTCCATGAGTACAATAGCGACTGTGAAGTATTTGTTGCCTGTGTGCATGTGTGTCTTTGTGCCCTGGCAGTGCCTCCCCCCCTTAGACAACAGTGAGTGACACCCTCTACCAACATGAGCGAGGATCGAATGGTGTAAAACATCCTAGAGGATTTCCTTGATGCTACGAAAAGAATCCGGGTGGTCTTCACTGCGTGAATAACACACTCTTTACACTGTATTATGTCCTATCAGATGCACACACAGTTGGCAGAGCGCTTCTTTATGTAACAGTTAACTGCATTTGTGAATGAAAAGACCTCGGGCCTGTTGTGCAAAGCCCTTAGGCATGCAAATCTAGCAGAAACATTTGACCAAGAAATCAATTTGGGAGCCATTTATGGGAACTACAAAAAGTGTCCAAGATGTTTGGAAAGCAGAAGCAGGACCAGATTTTTTTAAGCAACTACTCCCATGTGTTATGCTTCTATTGATATTCTCACATATCCTGACAAGCATTAAATAATATCTGGAGCTCTGCACCCATCTGTTCAACATGGCAGTGAAACTTTATGACCTCAGTTTCCAGAAGAAGCCACAATCTACTACATCATGACTCTCTCACATGCAGATTTGCTCAGTGAAGGAGTTCTCACCGCACGGTCTAAAATTAGCCACATGGTAAATTCTTTATGAATGCCCTGGACCCATGACAAGCGCTTAAAGGGGAAAAAATGAACAGGGAAAACACTACATTTCCATTTTGCCCTTTTCATCTTTTTTGCTCATTTGTTTTTTCCGCCTCCTTGAACCTGTCATCCTTCTCAGGGCAGAAGGAGCAGACCTACGAATGAACCGGAGGCTATTTTAAATAAAAAGCAACTTAAAGTTTTCTTCGGTTTGTTGAACATGGAAATGCTTGTGTGTCCAAAAGTGGGCTTATTTTTGGAATTATTCCATGTAATTCACCTTCCAGTACTTGGACTGTTTGGTAGTCATTGCATCAGCGCTTCAAATGTGAATTCCAGCATGTGTGGCATCTTGTGCCTGTGTGTGCAGTATATTTAACTCTACAGCGGCATGTGTGTTATGATAGCCGAGGTGACAATCCCAGAGTCCGCCGCCGCTCAAATCAGGCGGGGACTGAACTTGGCTCAAGGTTAAAAATGAGCTATGTGCACCTATTCACCTCTGATATCCCCCGTTCATTATTCTAGATCAGTTTGGATCATCCTATATAACAACCAATTCCTTTTTACACCCACTCTAAGAGTCACAATCCAAGCCAAAATCCCCTTAGTGATGTGATATATCCAATCTATACATATTATGTACATTATATACCAAATTCAAGAATGGTAAAATATGACTACATTAAAAAAAATGTCCATCCATTCATTTCAAAGGTTACTGGTTCAGTCCCTGGCTGCTCCAGTCTGCATGTCAAAGTATTCTTGGGCAAGATCCTGAACCCCAAGTTGCTTTATGCTTATCAGAGAATGAATGTTGGACAAAAAACAGAAAAAAGTGCTTGTATAAATGGGTGAGAATGGGTGATGTATAAAATGCTTTGCATGCTCCAGTAGAGTACGAAAGCCCAATTAAGAAGCAGTCCAATTACAGTGTTTCAAATTTAAGGTTTACCCAAAATGGACTTTTTCAAGCTTTCTCCAGTTATTATGCATGAAATTCCACTTGCACTTACACACACCATAACATAGCTAAGATGCACAATAGGAAAAATATTTAAAATAGCCGATTCCATATATTTTATATACGAGGGATACTTCAACAGGCTACACAAAACATAATTCAAGGATAAACAACCTACTTTGAAGGACATCATGGAATGATATGTATAATTACAAAGAAAGCCACAGTTCTAAACATACAAACAATACCTGTAATACTCTGCCAGTAAAGTGTACAAAACAGAAGAGATGTTTTAGTCACCACACAGTGGAACAGGAATATCCTCAAAATATTTCCATTTGTTGTGCAATTTGTGTCATGTCTGTACAGCTTTCAGCTCCACTGCCATTTTTTTAGATTGCTCCTTGGAAGCCCTGTTCAAACCACTTACACTGAGCACTCTGCAAGTTCAAACAGAAGAAAAAGCAACCTCTCAGTCAACCTGCAGAGTCCAGAGTTTTTTAAGCCTGAAGGCAACACATGATGTGAGCCAGGAGCATGCTCATCACAGCATTGTGTACTGTAAAGGGGGAAACCGTCAATGTGGAGTAATACTGCAACGTCTGAGGGGGAGCATTCACAGAAAATGTCCTGAAATGTGGTGGTGCCAGCTGTGAGTGCACTGAAAACTCTATTTTCTACCCACATCAACACCATCTTTGTTCACCACCTGCCCTATTAGCCATATTTTCCTCCCCGCAACTTCCTGAAAATGAAAATAAAATTGAATAATCACGTTTTGACATATCGGAGAAGCCCAAACACAACTGGACATGTAAAGGCTAGAAGAATAGCAGCTGTACAGAAAATGGTCCAGAGCTGCACAAGATGATGATCTTTACAAGCACTTTTTGATCACGCCTTATATGGACTTAGATGAGAATTCATAGTGGCGAGTTAGGAGGAAAAATGAGAGAGAACAGCACTTTAAAAAGGCAAGGTGGCAAAATTTGAATAAAGGCCCCATCAGGGAGATAAATCAAGGAGATTGGTTTAGCTCAGACTGTAACAGTGACAGCTTGTTATCATTTTATTAGTATAAAATATAAGCACAGTGGCAAAGCTTTATTGTATGGAGTTAGTTATAGCTGCTGCCGACAGCTGGCCGAGCCTAATGGAAAAGAGGCCGCTCTACAGGGGTTTTAAAGCCATTCAGCAAAATGCACTGTCCAGTGTCTCTGTGTGTGTTTCTATCTTCACTCTCCCACTGAGCCCCACGTGCAGCCAGTCTTCACTCAGCACCAGGTCTGCTGGCCTGCTTCCAGCCTGTGCCCCGGGAAAGTGGGCCAAGGAATCCAAACATTATATACACAGAAAAAATATTGTATATACTGTATGGCAAATACAAAGAACCAAGACTATACCCATGACTATTTGTGTAACCTTTACTATGCTTTGTATGAAGGAGTCACCACACAAACACAATCCAAATTGACCGTGTCCACTGCCATATGTGACCTGAGAGCCTCTCTTCATCCCCCAGCTTTTCATTTCTTCACTCCCTGTCATCTCCCATTATTCCTCTCTTTCAGGGTGAACGGAGTCCCTTCATCAACCCCCCTCTGACAGTAACATCTGTCATTTGTCCTTGCCACTGCTTACCATCTACTCCGTCCATCTTTAATCCCCATTTTCTGCTGTTCTGTTCCTTCCATTTAAATGCTTTCCATCCTTGACAAGCTGTTACTTCTGCCTGGGAGCATATCTCAATATGTACACTTTGCTTTCTTTCTGGGCAACAGTCGGGAAATGTTTAGCTTATTGCTTAGCTTATTAATGTATAGCTGAAAGGAAACGCAAACAACACAGTTTTAGAGGAGCTGGTAAGAACGAGGCTGCTTCTCTCTTGCTCTCAGTCTGTTTGTTGGTTTTGGTTTGAGTAGCTTGGTAGGAGAAGGCAGCCAATATGTAGCACAACTGGGAAGAAAGGAATATGTAAAACAGAAAAATATGAACTTTTTGGAGTGAATCTATTTAAATGCATGGTTGGCTAAAAAGAAACATTATCATCTAACATTTATTTTCTTTTGCTGTGCTCCCTATTCTTATACCAGCTCCTATACATCCACATAAACACCTACCAGTGGAGTACCAACATGGATGCCCTGGACTTATGGGCATGTCGCTTAAAGCCACATCACTGTCCCTGCAACTAGAACTGAACAATAGAAACCTGAGCAGAAAACTGGAGACATGCAGCTTAAAATGATAAAAGAATGGATAAAAATGAACTGAGAATAACCAAAAACTTGAAATACTATAATGATAAACTTTTACTA